TGCCTGATGCAATTTAAAACCATGAATAATCCAGTATCTATCACAAATTAGTAGCTATAGAATATCTTGCCTTATTGAGGATTTAATGTTGAAGGCAAGCTGGGTGATCCTCTCCTAGGAGCAGGAAGTATGGTATCAAAAGGAAAATTGTTCTAAGTTACTTTAACATCTCCCTGTAACCTTATTAACCTTAACTGAAGAGTCCTTATTCCTGTGATACCTTATGCTTGTTAAAATTATTTTAACATAAGAAATTAATTTATATTAATGTTTTAATTATTAAAACATTGCATCCAATATGGTTGCCAGTAATTTATTCATTTGCTTATAGATGTATATAGAATCCTACCAATACACAACACAGATACACATCTATACATACACCCAAGCATGTGCGTTTGGATGTTTATGTCAATGTATTCATTAAAAAATATTTATCCCACACCTGTACTTAAGTCTGACACTGTTTTAGGCACTAGGAATATATTGGTGAGGGAAAAAGCAGAATATAGAGATCCCTGTATTTGAGAGATGTTATTAAAAAATAAGCAAGTATTTAATGTGTGGTAAATGTCATGAAAAGCAAAGCAAGATAACAGACATGAGCAGGATGCTTTTGAGAGGGAAGTAACACTTTTAAGTTGAAAGCTGAAGAAAAACCTCACTGAGGAGTTGACATTTGGACAGAGACATGAAGGAATGAGATCTGCGGAATACTGTGGAGGTTCATTCAAAGTGAGAAGGAAGGAGCAATGTAAAGGACCCTGGAAGTGTGCAGGTGGTGCTAAAGGAAAGAAGCAAGGCCAGAGTGGCTGGTGCAGGGTGAGCAGCAGATGGGTCAGGGATGAGAGTTAGAGCACTTAGCTTAGGAAGAGTGTGTAAGACATCATAAGGGATTTGGGCTTTTTCTCTGAATGAGGCAGGAAGTCCTAGATGGTTTTTGTTGTTATTGTCGCTGTTGTTAGGTATTGAACACAGGGGCACTTAACCACTGAGCCACATCTCCAGCCCTTTGTATTTTGAGACAGAGTCTCGCTAAGTTGCTCACAGCCTCACCAAGTTGCTGAGGCTGGCCTTGAACTTGCCACCTTCTTGCCTCACCCTCTGGGGTTCCTGAGATTACTATCATGTACCACTGTGTCTGGCTGATTCTTTTGAATTTGACTGCATTTGATAATTTTTGATTCAGGGCAGTGGTTTTTCAACTGGAGCTGATTTTGAACCTAGGTCATATTTGATAGTTTCTAAAGGTATTTTGGGTTGTCACAGCTAAGCAAGGTGGTTATTATTGTCATCCAGCCAGGGATTTCACCAAATGCAATGTGTAGGACAGCCCCCCCCCAGCAAAGACTTGTCAGGCACCAAATGTCAGTTGTGCTGAAGTTGAGAAAGCCTGTGTTGAGGATGTGGCATGATTGGCTCTGGGCAGGTTACTGGGGTATTAGGCCTAGTTTTAGGCAGTGAAGGCATTCACTCTGAGCCTAGCTCTAGGAATCTGGAGGAATCTGTGTCTAGAGTCACGGTCTGAAGCAAAAAATGAAAAATAATGAATAGACCAAAAAAAATGAAATTCACAAGATTTTCCCTGTTGTACCAGCATTAACTTATTGGAGTTTGTGTGTGTGTGTGTGTGTGTGTGTGTGTGTGTGTACGAATGCATGCATGCATGTAGGGGGATGTGTTAAAAAAGCAAGAGATACTCCAGACACAATGTGGAAAGAACACCTGTCTGTAAAACAGGAAGCCAGAGAGGGTTTGATGTCGAGTGTGACATTGCCTTTGTTCATCACATCACTGGGGTCCTGCATTGGAGGCACTTGAGAGTACTTACCCCTTTCCATCTGCTGCAGAGCGTTGTCTGGCAAGATTTGAGTTTAATTTTCAAAGTCGCTGGTTGAACCAAGATTATTGGAAAGAGGCCTACAGCATATTGATTTTTTTTTTGTACATTAGTTAAAGGGACATTTATTTCTAACAGAGGAAATGGCCGTGTTAACTACTGTAATGGCTTCCTTCACCATTGGGAATTTTGCTGTTATTAGAGACCACTAATTATGGGTTAAGCATGGTACAGCATAAGAAAGATGTAAGCAAAACTGTAGTTGGTGGAGACTATAAAATTCATGTCTTTTTTTTTTTTTGTCGGAATCTGTTTTGGTATTTCTTGAGGGTAGGTCATATCACACTGGTGGTTCACAATAGTTGGGACACAAGAATTTAGACAATTAACAGTTAAGAGTCTGACAGAGTTGAGCTCAGTGGAATCAGAGAGCAGAAGGGTGATTACCAGGGGTGGGGAAGATTGAAGTTGGTCAATGTATACAAAACTTCAATTCTAGAAGTAAGTTTCAGTGATCTGTAATACTGAATGCTGTGATTAATAACAATGTATTATATTATTGAAAATTGTTGAAAGCACATTTTAAATGGCCTCATCACAAAAATATGGTAAGTATGTAAGGTAATGCATATGTTAATTAGTTTGACTTAGCAGTTTACTATATACACGTATTTTAAAGTACCATATACACCATAAATTATTGGTGCTTTTTGTTGAAATGGGTATAGAATAATGGAGAATATGGAAATGCAGTGGACACACAAAACTCTTCCCTAAAAATAAATAGATTAATAGTATGACCCAGGAACCAGGCTACCTGGGCTCCATAAATCTCCAGCATTTAAAGTCCTTTGGACTCTAGGCTTGGTACTCAACTACTATGCACCTCGCCTTCCTCATCTGTAAAATGGTCATGATAATAAACCTAGAAGGGTAGCTGTGAAGAGTCCATGTAATTATATGTGTAAACACTTAGACTGGAACCAAAAAATCACTGTTAAGCCTCTAACACATTGCTTTTGTTATATTTTTAACTCTCAGATGTCAGGAACTTAGAAAAGATGAGTTTCAAATGAAAAGATAATGCCATTTGATCTTTATTTTGCTCTTATACTAAGGTAATAAAGGAAAGGTATTAGTGCAAAAAAATGGTTATCAATCTTATTTTAATCTTAAATTAAACACAGTTGCCCAAAGAAAACTTATTTGTTTGTAGAAAAGTGGTTTGAAGGTATAGTCATGTACAATACAATGTCATTTTTTTCTGTGATAAACTGCATATATGATGGTAGTTTATAGATTCCATTGCCTAGTGATGTCATAGCCATCTCAGCTTGTGTAAGTACTTTCCATCACATCCGCAGGACAAAATCACCTGACTTGGTGATAATTTCTCAGAACATGTCCCATCGTTAAATGATACTTTACTGTATTTCTATAGCAAAATTGGTCTTCGTTGCTTTGTCTCCCTTAGATAAAAACCAGAGAAACTTTCTAGTTTTTCCTCTTAAAATGTTCACAAATTTATAGTCAGAACAGTTTACCTTTAATTTATGCTTTAACTCACTGGAACTTTATTAGACTAAAATTAACCAACTCCCAAAGAGGCCAGGAAATATGAATGACTGTGAAATGTTATGGGATCTAATAGGCATATTGGAAGACAAAGATGAAGGCTGATTATTTTCATTTAGTGCCAAGTGCTATCATTCCAATGGCAAAAAGACAGATATTTTGAATCAAATACTGGAGTTTGTTCCTTAGATGATAATATAATAGGTTAGTTAAAAAGGGCTAAACTGTAGTAGGTTTATTAAATTAAGCAATAAAGTTTCATGTGTTTGAACAACCTATTGTGAAAATCTTCAACAGCTAACTTCATTTACAATGAATTTAAATGAAGGAATTATTTCTTTAAAAGTTCAATGTGGGTTCCCTCTGTTTTGTTAGGGGTTGAAAATGTCACGGCAGTGGATCTGGCTATGATCAGACCCCTTAATCCTGTTTTAATTATAGGGTTTTTGCTACTTCTGATTTCATAGTTATTCATGACTGACATTCAGGCATTCATAGTAATTTTTTAAATATGCAATTTTACATAAGAGTCCCCTCAAAGTGACCTTAAGATGAGAGTTTCTAGACATAATTACAGAGAGGAAGGAACTATTGGCCCAGAATGAGCTGATGGCTTCCAGGAATATCTCATTTTCAAATTTTCCAGTTAAATGCTGTGGCAGTTTCCCATTTCCGCAAGCTTGAGAAGAATGCAGAGGGACGCCTACAAAGATTGTCACATGTATAGCAGGTGTCTGTCCCCACTGCTGTATATTGGAAAACACTGAGACCAGATACAATTAACCATGTCTGGAGAATAGTTGGCTCATGGCTAGAAGTGATTTGTCAAAGAGGATACAAATTATTTGTTGAGCATAATAATTTTTGTTAGGGTCCAAAAACTGACTGGCAGTGGGTTCTCCTTCCCAAAATGCAGGTTTAGAGCATGAGATTTGAAAAGGGAGATTAAATTCAATGTACCCATTATAAATCACATTTCTCTAACTTTAAAGTTAGAGGTTTTTTTGTTTTGTTTTGTTTGTTTTGTTTTGGGGGCTCTGTGTCCTATTGGCAATCTTTACCAATCGAATTGAGTCCATGGTAAATGAAATGTTTTAAATTAATTAGGTGAAATGTTTCCCTGAAATTTTAACATATTTCTCCACTAAGCTCTATTTCTTCATGTGTAGGATGAAGATGTTGAGACTGCAGTATCTCTAAGGTATCTTTTGATACCTTATATTCCCTAAGCCTAAGGTCTAACTTCTATAATATATTTTAATAAATAACATATTGTAATATATGATTTTAAAATATTCTGCTGAATTTCCAAATACCATGGACCATTTCGCTTTGTATGACTCTGCCTTGCAACATGGTTCGTTCAGTTGACCATCACCAAACATCATCTTTGAGAGCTCATGGCCCCACTGGTGACATGGCAGTGGCCCCCATGCATAAAAACAAGCAGCCTTTGCTGAGAGCAGGCATACCTTTATTAGAAACCCACACCCTGTCCTGTTGTTGCATGTGTTTGGTCACTGAGAGGGGGAACTGCCAATCTGCTTTCTTTTACTCACTCTTTTTGTGTTCATTCTCCCAACAGAAAGGAGAACCCGACTGCTGTGCACTCTCCCTCGAGACGAGCGAGCAACTCACCTTTGAGATCCCCCTGAATGACTCGGGCTCTGCTGGCCTGGGGGTGAGCTTGAAAGGAAACAAATCCCGAGAGACTGGAACCGACCTGGGGATTTTTATCAAATCCATCATCCACGGAGGCGCTGCTTTTAAGGTGAGCAGATGATATTTGCAGGCTCAGGAGAAGGTCCTTGCAGGTGTGGCTGGTGTGCTGGGGTCAGGATGGAGACGCTGTGTTCTGGACTGAGACCACTGCACCTTTCCTGACAGCTTCAGGAGACATGTGTGTGAACGGATCCAGGGAATTATTGGGCTGTTTCCTACCTTAGATGGTTATTTGTATTTCCCAGAGATAGTTCTAAAAGCCCATCACGATTACATTTTTTTTTTCACATCTTATTTATTACTCTACATTAGGATGCCTCTGAATTGGTAACCTGTCAGAGTTGAGCCTAAAAATATACAACCAGAAAAAAACAAAACTAAAAACAAGTGGATGAAAAGGCAACAAATGAGAGAATCGTGCTTGCAGGAGTGAAAGCTCAGTGGAGCCTGCGAATGAGTGTAGTGTCAATTAAAGGTCATTTATCACAGTTTTACACCCAAAGATAACTGTGGTACTCAGAATGCATGTTTGCTTTTGAACATTTGCATAAGTTTATACATTTCCAGAGAAATGGAAGCTAAAGTCACATTGCCCACCCCAGGGGGAGTTCAGGACCCATTGGGGTGAGCCATGTGTCTTTAGCTATCAATGTAGTGTAGCAGTTAAGTAGATTGCCTGCATTCAACACCAGCCCACCAGCTCCCTACCTCTGCAAAAACATGTACAAGGAACTTGGCCGGCTATCTCCCATTTTTCTCATCTGTAAAATGGGAATAATAAGCAAAGCCCACTTCATAGGGTTCTAAGGATTAAACAATTAACATGAACAATGTGATGAGAGTAGCAAAGCAATTGTAGGGAGGAAGTACATGTTCAAGCCACTAGCTTCTGTCACCATCAGCTCATACCCGGCAATGAGGTTCTTGAGTTTGAATACTGCCTTTTTATTTTGAATATAGATCAATTATTCCTCCTCAAAATGCCTCAGTTTCATCATTTGTGAAGTGAGTAAAACTTATAGTGCCAGTGCTATTGAGACTAACAGAGAAAATACACGTAAAAGTACGTGCTGAGCATAGTACCTAACAGAGGATTCCAATAAATGTTAAACATTTAAAAAATGATCTCAGTATTGATAATGTATGCCTATTTTCATGCAAAAGCCAAGAAGACCTAGTTAGACTCCAGGGGAACACCCTGGTCTTAGAATTCTGGCTTGGTTAAAGAATTTATCTTCCTACATTTACCCTTCCACTTTTGTTTCAATCTAGATACTTAGGAAATAAGGATTGCATTGTGAATAGACAACTCTTCAGTTTGCTCCTATGTCAGTTAGCTTTTGTCATATAATAAATAATCACAAAAATTCATTAATTTCAATAATTTTTTTATTTCTTCCATGGCTCTGCAGGGCAGCTGCTGCTGGTGGTGGCTCTGAATTGTTTTGTTTTCTTTCTCACACCGTAGGTTTTCAGGTCTGAGTATGCTCCACAGATTTCACTTACTCCTTGGATCAACAGGCTAGCTGAGGTGTAGGAGGGCCAGCAGAAGTGGGGGAGGCCTTTGAATGCCTAGACTCTGAATCAGCATACCCTCACTCCACACCAGACAATTGGCCAAAACAAGTTATAAGGCTGAATCCACAGTGGTGTGGTAGAGAAATATCCTCTGGCCACATTGAAACTATGGCAGAAGTATGGGAGCAGAGACAGATGATGAATCAAGGCCCATCGGCCAATCTATAATACTCCGAATATAGCTCAGAGTGCACAACTAGGAATAGAAGGAGATGATAGTAACAGTAACAATGACAACAGCTATTAACACTTATTATGCTTAGTGCTTAGTATATGCTGGGTGGCACCGAGGTAAGCGTTTTAGATGGATTCTCTAATTTCATTCTTCGTGTTCACATTTTATTATCAGCATCATTCCATTTTATCAAAGAGGAAATTATAAATAGCAGGACAGAGGTTATGGCCTTTACTGCAATCAGGTAGCCAGGAATTGCTAAACTAAAATTGGGCTCAAGAGCCTTTGCTATGCCACTGTACAAGGATGGCTCTTCAATACCAAGCAGGCATGCTCTATGACAGCAGAGACTGTCCCCCTGGCATGGTCTTCTCATGCTTACCCCTCTTAGCCAAGCCTCCTAAACATGGGCTAAGCTTAAGTCATGTTTGTGGATACTGCTTGATGTTATTCTTCTTACTCCTAATGACAGTGCTATTTAGGGAATTTATTCCCAGTAAAATCGAAACTGAGATGACGTTTTGGAAATTAAAAGCAAACATCTTTGCTTTTTTATGGGCAATAACTTAAGCTCCAGCAGATATTGGCGGATGGTTTAATACGTATATCCATGTTTGTGTAAGTGAGTGTTTCCTTACCTAAGCAGTTTCTAACAGTCTTGTTTCTTGTAGAAAGAGTTCACTTTCCATTTATGTAAATTTCTTTCCTGACACTGGTCTGCTGAGTCAGACGATCACACCATTAAAAACCACTGGACAGCATATTTATAGCTGATCTCAAACAGTATGAGGCATCAATCATGAATCTAGCCTTGTTGTGAGTGTTTAGTATCCACTTGTCTTGTTTACCTTTTGCAGTGTAAAGAATATAGAGGCCTGAGTGAGCTCACAAGAAATCTGATTAACAGGGGAAAAAAAATTGTTTTCTCTTCTTCTGCCGCTATTCCAATAATCTACTGTTACTCTTCAGAAAATTGCCACCTGTTCTATGATTCTGGATTATGTCTTACAAAAATTGTTTTGAGACTTTGTTCCTGTCCCTCTTGAGGAGATACAAATGTAACAAACTGCAGTGTCCTTGGGGCAAAGCATTGGGAACATCCACCTTAGCATCTGGCCCTAGGTATTTGCCTGAAATCAACAAAATACTCTTTCTACCCAAGTGCAGGCTTTTTCTCTTGGCCCTTCATATCACTAATTGGTTCTCAAGGTGTTTTTCCCTTAAGGGAAGGTGGATTGTTGAAAACTAAACTACTTTGAAAAGTATGACCAAATTCTTCCTGTGGATTCTGTGTGCTCTGTTCTCCTGGGGCTTCCATTGGTGTAAACAAAGATAGGCTACCTGCCCGATGTAAAACCCTTGGATGACTGAGACTCTAATTGAGGGCTTCTTTTCTTTCCCCCACTTACCTCTCGGTCTACTGCTTTCCATCATTTCACCTTGTATTCAAGTTATTTCTAACGGGGATGTAAATCTCCATTTGCAATTAAGAGCACCCATCTACTTTAGGATACTCTCCTGAAGCTGGGTCCCTGATTCATTCTCAAGGCAAATTTCAGTAATTTAACTCTATTCACAATTATGTAATCTCCTCTTAATATGTCACTTTTAGTTTGCATCTTGAGAAATATTGCCCAGAAATGCTCCCTTGCATGTGGCAGGCAATTGCAGGCTGATTTGGTTTCTGGAGGTCTTTGTACAGCCCTTAGAAGTGCCACTGTTAGCTGTGCTTCTTCATGTATAAACTGGCATTCTTTTAGTATGGCTGCTGGTAGGCCTCCACAGCGGCCCTGTTAGTCTTCCTGTTCCATTTTATTTTCTGCCTTTCTTCCTGGACTTTAGCCCCTAAAGTATAGTCTAATTGATTCTAGAGACAAAATGTACTAGTATGTGTATTGACTTCTCCACAGCTGAGAACTATGAGATGAAATTTTGATATCCTTGAGGATGATTTTCTAAAATTTCATTTTTGTGTTTAGGATTTCAAGTGAAATGTGGTATCAATGCTGTTAAATAAAAATAAGTATTGTCTTTGTTGCACTTTGAAAACATACCTCGAGAAAATATTCTTCCTCACCAGATCCACATAAAAACTCACTTTTTATTTTCTCCAGGGTAGCACAAGTAAAGTGTCAGTGGTCACTAGATATTTTCATACTCATTTACTAAACACATTGAATTCTGAGAACAGTGGCTTTCCTTTTCTTTAATAATAATAAACTATATTAATTTTTTAGCAAAAAATAGGGTTTTATATTGATTGCTTATACCCACTTAAACTGCTTATTTTCCTACCTGAATCACCTTTTTAAAAAGTTTATAACCAGAATAGTGATATTTGGAAAGATTTAGGAAAGATATATTAACATGCTACAGTAAAAATAAAAATTCAATGGAGTCTGTTGTACTTTTTCAGAATGACCTTTTTATTGACTATGGTGACTATGGGAGTGGAATGTGTCCTATTGGAACCTTGATATAATCAGATAAAAATTTAAATTTAAAGGTAGTTTTTGCTAAGAAAAAAAATGCCGTGTATCAGGTAGATAAGACTCTTAAATAGAATGAATGTAAGAATATCTGTTATTCTGTAGAAAATTAATTAGCTAGTTTTTGCTTAATAAATACTACTTGATGATGATGAAATTAAATGAAAGAAAAATGCCTGACATAGCTAATTGCAAATGTATGCACTCAGAATATGAAATAGACATAATTTAAGTAATTTGATTCTTGTGTGCTTAGGAAATTTGGGATGCTCTTTCTGAAAGATGCAGAATTTCATAGTCTACACTATTTAGTCATGGGTAAAAGAATTTTAACTAATGCAAGTCAATCCTAATATGTGTAAAGGACCAAACTGATTTGGGGGGCAGAGAACATGCACAGCCATAGAATATACAAGAACATGTTGCTTAATCCTGAATCTTATGTCTTTTTGTAATATGGAACACTTAACAGCCTCCAGCCCTCTTAACAGGAGTCTGGTCAGAGTTCCCAGTGTGAGTAATTTCCACCTCCATCTCTGCCAGTATCTATAAATCATGTGGTGTATCTATAATTAATGAATCCAAGGGAAGATAAAAGGGACAGCTTTTTAAGGAACACTAATGTTAAATGATTTCTTCAACTCTCCATTTTTCTTAAAATTGATAACATTTTCTACTGGTGAAGGAACTTTGAGGCTCCTTACTGGTAGTCAGTGTCTTTTAAGCTTTTGCTCTGACAAAAAGACCAGTCTGGGGGTGTAAAAACCTCCATTGCAAATCCTTAATGGTAAGAAGCTCAACGCTAAC